GGTGGTACCTCTGGGGAAAGGAAGAAAAATTGGGGGGAGAGAGGAATGAGAAGGTTGACATTTTTCATTTTACTCTGTGTGCTTTTGGGGATGCCACTGATTCCAAGTGATCTGATAAAGATATACATTACTGATAATGTTGCTATCTTACTATTTCCTACTAGGAGGGTTTGGCCTAATTAAGAACCACTTTTAAGAAGTCTATTTCCCAAGGAATCAATTCTCTATATAAACACGTAGTTCCATGGCATAATTCTAGAAAGCACACTGTAACAAAACTACAGTATCTACTTTTTCACCCCTTCCAAAGTTATAAGCAGGCAATTAAATTTGATTCCCCAGTGATGAATGATATAAAGTAAATTAAACCCACCCAGCATGAGCTGAAGTGTAAGGTTCTAACAGCAGACAATAACTTAGTTAACAACACTGGAAAATTCCCTCAGTGCACATAGAAACTGGATGACTCGACTGACATATTACAGCTGAACTCTACCAGGAAAGGTTTGTTAGTTGTAGTGGATGGAGAAAATGACCCAGATCTGAGGGATATAGGGAATTGTATTTGTCCTCTCAACATACAGAGTGCACTATTGTACTACTTTTCTGGGTTGAGAGTTGTTTAGGAGTGGATGGTTTGAGAGATCTAAATGTATCCACTTATTTTGTGCTTTATGCTGCCTAATAAATCACCTATAAACTGTTGCTTAATTTAGGCCCAGAATCAGATTGGTATCACACATATTAATTATAATGGGAAAATACTGATGCATAAATTAGATACTTGTTATGGAAATTTTCAAAGTAAAATTATGTAGGAATATATATTTATACCTATTACCTAACTTCAATAATTATCATTTGTGCCCATATTTACTTCACTCCTTCCTCTCCTGGATTTTTTTAATTTTGAATTTTTTTCAGTGCACATTTCATATTTTTATGATTTAGGCCTTTTGTAACTGATAGTAATAAAGATGGTTGTCTTCAAGGGTCAAGCCCATGCCTTTGGTATTATTTAACACTAGGGGCCCAGTGCACGAATTTGTGCACCTTGAAAGGAACTGTGGGCTGCAAGCCTGCGGTGGGCACAGGGGCGGGTCTCGGCCCATCCTTTGTGCCACCACCCCCCCCCGCCCCTCC